GGTTGCAACCCAGGGTTCACACCTGCAGAACATGAAAGAGAAAGGGAGATGAAGTCAGCAAGCAAAGACCAGAAAGAAAGAGGGGTACCTTCACTTCATCTTGCTAGGTTATTCTTTGCTACTCATACATGCATAAGTACTTGAATCTAACGAATCAAACTAATGCTCTGGCAAAACACAGTTTTTAAGAAAGTAATATCTAGTCCGTGGTATAAAAATACATTGGTTATATCTTATATTTACTGCCACCCACTCATCCAAACACAAGCACACTTATATACATTGAAATACAGTGTCATTGATATACACAGTAATTTGACTTAAATGCTTGATTTGGGAAATACTAACAAATACACGTATTTGAGTGCTTGCAACATATTAGCTAGCATATATTAGCCTTCAAGTAATTTTTGCATATAATTTTATTATCATGAAAATATAAATCATTGAAAAGTAGTTTACACTGTACTAAAAGTACAAAGAGCTTGCTGTGCGGCAGGCTATGCAAAGGTATCTGAGGCACGTAAACTACAGGAGGGATGCCCTAACATTGCATTTGTATGTCTGTGTATCCAGGACCAGTGGACAGGTTTGGGATTATGCCAGGACATGCAGAGCTCCTTCGAGCTCAAGTGGTCTGAGGGACACTCCAGGAGCTTCCCCTAAGTTCTCCATTCTGTGCCAAATTGTTACCCAAATCTGGCGTGGTGATTAATTTGTTTGACACCAAAGGTTTTTTTGTGGTGATCAAGTCTGTCATCAAAATCTCGGGTCTCCCCACCTGCAGCAGAACAAACCTGATCCTTGCAGTGGTGCTGTGTCTCTCTGAACATGAAATCTTCATCGCTCTTCGCTGAATCTCGAAGACCCCCTATGTGACTGTGAGACATTCAGCCCCCTGTCCTCGCTCACCCTGTGCAGCGCTTCTCTCGCATCTGAAAAATACATTATGCAGCACCCCGCCAGAGCGCTCTCAAGGCAAAATAGCATTTTAAAATCCGTAGGAAGACAGACTCAAATAAGCTAGAAATCTCTTTTCCCCCTGGTAGCCCAATAATGTAAGTGAAAACTTTTTTAGTTTCATCAGGTTTCAGAAAATTGCTTTCTTCTAACTGCCTCGGTGTTCAGTTCTGCAATGCTCTTCTGTGAGTTTGGCTGTTAAGTGTTGAGTGCCACTGCTCAAAACTGGAGCCACACTACTGGGTGCTGCTATAATGACCTTCCTCATGAATATGTATTGATGGATAAGTAAAGCAGAATAAAAGATTAGAAACTTTTAACACTCAAAACTCTCCAGAGCTTCAGTCCTTGAGACTGGAAAAGTACTCTGCTTCTCCAGGAGCAGAGCACTGAGCAAGCTGGGGGATCTTTGTGGTCCATTGTTATGGTTTCTTGGCCTTTAACAAAAAAAAAGAATAAGACCCTTTTATTGTGCTGTTAAATATTTTCCATTCTAAAAGCAGAAATGAAAAATGCAGTAAGAATTTTGTATAAAATGAAAAAATTAACCATCAAGGAGTGGTGGACTAATTACCAAGAAAAATCTGGTTCCAGAACGCACCTGGGTATTAAGGAGTTTGAATTCATTTCAAAATTAGATCAAATTTAATTCTGCACAGAATGGATAGTATTAGATATAATCATAATGAACATTACCATGTACTGTGCAGTGAGGGGAACTCAGCTGAGCTTGCCAAAAATCCCATTGCCAACACAAAAAAATAGCTTCTCCCGCAGGCACAATATTGAGGAGTTTTAAAAATACTTCAGAGTGATGTTAGAGTTATGTTTCAAAAGTACCTACTTAAGTTTTGGAAACTGCACCGTGCTATTCTTTCCCCAGACCTGAGTCCTTTCTAGGTTCTCTGATGCTATGACTTAGCATGATCATCCAGTGACCATCTGTCACTTACCTCCTTTGGCTCTGCATGTCCTCTGCTCTTATTATCATTGGTTTTATTTTTTTTTTTTTCCCTAAAAGGAGGACCATAAACTAAATGTAGCAATTATTACATTCAGGTCAGAGGGAAAAAAAAAAAAAAAAAAGCCCTTTGTTGCTGTAAATTGTTTACGTGTTTCTAAAGTGTTGGTTAGAAGCAGCCAACAAAAGGAGAAAACATTCTGTAGGAGCCCTTTTGCACTGGGATCATTAAGCTCATGTACACAGTTTCATACCAGCCTTTCTTTCAATTTTTACATTACGGTCAGAGGGAAAAAAAAAAAAAAAAAAAGCCCTTTGTTGCTGTAAATTGTTTACGTGTTTCTAAAGTGTTGGTTAGAAGCAGCCAACAAAAGGAGAAAACATTCTGTAGGAGCCCTTTTGCACTGGGATCATTAAGCTCATGTACACAGTTTCATACCAGCCTTTCTTTGCAGCGAGGTAAAAGTCATCTGCAAAAATTTTCATGCTAAATTTTAGTGCCACAGGGAAGTGTTGTCTTTGCTGCCTCAAGTTTCTTGACCTTTTTGAGCTCTATTTAACTGTTTTGGGTTTCTTGCAAAACCTGCAAATTTCCCCTAAAAATGCACATTGCCAGCAAGTCAGTTGCTCTTCTTCTCTCCCTTTCAAGGCTATTTTAAACCCCCCCTCCAGCTCACATCCCAGGGCTGTTCTCGGGTTCCTAATCCCATGCCAGGGAGCACACCCAAACCCCTGCCCAGGCTCTGCAGAGCTCCAACACCTGCAGCAGGTTGATCAATAAACAATCTGTCATGCCAATTCTTTCCTATATTCCAACCAAATACAAAATTCATAGCAACACAATATTAAATATGGAATCCCAGAATTTTCATCTACTATTTTGACTAAAAAAGGTCTTCAAATATTCCTATATTCCAACCAAATACAAAATTCATAGCAACACAATATTAAATATGGAATCCCAGAATTTTCATCTACTATTTTGACTAAAAAAGGTCTTCAAATACCTTGTAAAGCCATCTTGAGTGTGACCTTTATTTTTTACATTCTCCTGTAAATTTCAGGTATAGTAATGTTTCTGTTCACTAACAGCATAGCTACCTCTTCAGTAAGTTACATTTAGCCCAGCATTAGCATTTCATCAGTAATCAATGATTGCCTATATCAAGCTAGTTCTAAATCTTGGAGGAAGTTTACCTTATGCAGCTGCCTTCACGTAAAAGCAATTGTACTAATCCTTACCTTACTCCAAAAAGTCCCAAGGGATTTCATTCTGAGTCTTCCCTGTTTTCCCTTTTGAGAGGGTGTTTCTCCTTGTTTCTGCAGCGACCAACAAGTACTGGATCTGAAGTCCTTTCGTAGTATCCAGAATATCCATTGATTAAGTACATCTCCCACAAGTACTCCAGCTGCAGCAAGTCTTCTGTTTGGGGAAATAAAGAATTGACATCTGTCTATGGGATTTAAAATCCCAGAGACACCTCCCACTAGACCAGGTTGCTCAAAGACCCATCCAGCCTGGTCTTGAACACTTCCAGGGATGGGTCATCCACAACTTCTCTGGGCAACCTGCTCCAGTGTCTCACCACCCTCACAGTAAAGAATTTCTTCCTAATATCTAATCTAAATCTCCCCTCTTTCAGTTTAAAACCATTACCCCTTGTCCCTATCACTACACTCCCTGACAAAGAGTCCCTCTCCAGCTTTCCTGTAGGAGCCCTTTAGGTACTGGAAGGCCACTGTAAGTTCTCCCCCTGAACAACTCTCTCAGCCTGTCTTATAGGAGAGGTTCTCCATCCTTCTGATCATTTCCATGGCCCTCCACTGGACTCATTCCAACAGCTCCATGTCTTTCCTGTGTTGAGAACTCCAGAGCTGGGAACAGTACTCCAGGTGGAATCTCACAAGAGCAGAGGAAAGGTGAAGAATCACCTCCCTCAACCTGCTGGTCACGCTTCATTTGATGCAGCCCAGGATGCGGTTGGCTTTTTCAGCTACCAGCGCGCATTGCCAGTTCATAGTGAGCTTCTCATCCCCCAACACCCACAAGTCCTTCTCCTCAAGGTTGCTCTCCAGCCATTCTCCACCCAACCTGCATTGGTGCTTGGAATTGCCATGTCCCAGGTGCAGGACCTTGCACTTGGCCTTGATGAATCCCTTGAGGTTAGCACAGGCCCACCTCTCCAGCCTGTCCAAGTCCCTCTGGACGGTATCCCTTCCCTCTGGCATGTCAACCATGCCACAATGTCCCAGGTGCAGGACCTTGCACTTGGCCTTGATGAATCCCTTGAGGTTAGCACAGGCCCACCTCTCCAGCCTGTCCAAGTCCCTCTGGACGGTATCCCTTCCCTCTGGCATGTCAACCATGCCACAAAGCTTGGTGTCATCAGCAAACTTGCTGAGGGTGCACTCTATCCCACTGTCCATGTCTCCAACAAAGATGTTGAACAGCACTGGTCCCAGTACTGACCCCTGAGGAACACAACTCATCACTGGCTCCCACTTGGACATTGAACCATTGGCCGCACTCCAGCCAGTTCCTTATCCACCGAGTGGTCCATCCATCAAATCCATGACTTTCCAATTTTGAGACCAAGATGTCATGTGGGACAGGGTAAAACACCTTGCATAAGTCAGGTAGATGATGTCTGTTGCTCTCCCCTTGTCTACCAATGTTGTGGCAATATTGTAAAAGGCTGCCAAATTTGTCAGGCACGACTTGCACTTGGTGAAGCCATGTTGGCTGTCACCAATCACCTCCTGATTTTCCACATACCTTAACAGAGATTCCAAGAGGATCTACTCCATGATCTTGCTGGGCACGGAGGTTGAGACTGACTGGCCTGTAGTTCCCTGGGTCTTCCTTTTTTCCCTTTTTGAAAATGGGTGTTATGTTTCCCCTTTTCCATTCAGTGGGAACTTCACCAGACTGCCACGACTTTTCAAATATAATGGAAAGTGCATATAGCATTTGAGGACAATATAGGACCGTTTTCAGAAGTCAGAGTATTTATCTTAATGAAAGTTATTTCCTCTGTCTTCCAGGTTGTTCTTAAACCTTGATTTCTCATATTTTCAGATACCACCTTCTTTCTGATGATTAGCAAGAGCTACTTACATTTTGCTGGATTTTCTTCCCTTCACCAAAGGCTTAAAACCCAAGAGAGAGTTAACTTCGTCCCACCAGCCGTGACACTGGGAAATAGAATCTGCTTCAGCCCATTTCTGCTACTTTTCCCCATTTCGTTCGAGGTAGGACCTTGCTCAGGTCACCTGCAATTACTTTTCTGTGAAGTGAGTCAGCAGTTGCAGCTTTTCCTTAATTCTTCACCTAAACTCTTGAACTCCCAGACAGCTCTTCTTAGGACTGCTTAGGTGATGACTCCTCAGAGGTTTTTGGTGCATTTCTTTTAAGAAAAATTATTTGCACAAGTTTACAATTGTATGTGGTAATGGAAGTCTTTATTGGCTTTTTATTGGTAGCACTTTGAAATGTTTTGCTAGAAACATGCTTTCAAAGTGTTCTTTTCTTTGCATTTATCTCTGCTCCGCCAGCTTTAAAATGTTCTCTCAAAGACTTCTGGGAATCATAGCTTAGTGTGGGGTTTTTTTCCCAAGTAAAGGACTGTGCTAAGAATGCTATTTGCTTTCCAAAATTAGAATGTGTTGAATTCCTAATTACAGCAATTGGTCTAGCACCTTGTCACAAGAGTACGCGCAAAGAACAACCTTGTGTGAGGCTGCACTTGTACCTAAACACTCAAATCCCATCTTTGAGAGAAAAGTTGTTCAGTCAACACCATCTTGCCCAATCAGATCTGGACGGGGCAAGTAATAAGGAACAATTTTATGTGTCAAACTAATCTGGGCTGCAGCTTTTCACATGAAAAAGCACCTTAACTTCTAATCTACATGGATTTCAGAGCACAAGTACATTTACACTTGATCATTTTCTATTAAGATTAATTTCTTGGGGAGCAAAAAGCACAGGCACAAAGTCTCACTAAGAATCCTTAATTTGGAAACTATTTCTGATTAAAAAACAGCAAAATGTGTTAAGGCTTCCAATTACCACAGAAAAACAGTTGGTTGCATGGCTAGTAGTTTGAGATCAGAGTTCCTTCAAGGATTGTTAGAGCCTGTGGGACTAAGAAACTATTTATAAATATAAACTTTATATGTGTCGACTATATACATATGTGAAATACAAATTTATATTCAGTTAAGCAAGCAATAATCAAGACTACTCATACAGACACGCTGAGACTGAGACCAAATCTAAGAGTATAAATTTCTGTATGACTATGGCATTTACATCAGAATAATTTTAAGGTTTGTTGCCTTTGAATTTCATTCAGTAAGAAAATAATTCGGTTTTGGCCTTCAAGAGCTATGGTGCATCCTTGAAGAATGCACATTGTTCCAAGCACAACAATTTGCAAGGATTTTCAGGATACATTACAATTGTACATAATTTCCTTAATGTAAGGTGTTCTAGCTGTGCATATTTTGCTACTGTTTTCTTTACTAATCCTATCATCATTTTTCCTTTATTTCAATACCTCACTAATGCCACTCCTAGCAGAGAAAGCAAGTTCTAACTCACAGCTTACACAAATGAAGCCTACTCAGGTTTGTAATTCAGTATTTATATTTAAAATACATTTAGTGTACTTAATGCCAATAAGAGTAGTTTGGGGAAATACAAAATTAATTTCATGATAGATAATACACGTCACTATCTTTTTTTCATTATGTTGCAGAGTCTCAGGGCCTGATTCTGATCTTATTTCCACTAATTTAATGTTGGTTAAGATCAACTGACAGGAGTGAAATTATTTTTCATTTACTCAAGAGTACGTGACACCAGAGATTAATTTTTATATAGCACGTCTTTACATCTCCTAATATGGGGTAATGATGCTAAGCACCTGCTCAAAAAATGATTACCCCTTCTGATGATTTCCATTATACTAAAATATCACCTGGGAAAAAAAAACCATTGTTTCCTTTTAATAGGCAAGTTTAGAAACCAAATGTCTGTTAAAGTGTGCCTTTAATCTTTGTTACATAAATAACCACATGACATTATGAAAATCAAGCTTCTATTTACCAGGATGCACAGAGCTTGCCAGGAATAATTGCAAAGTGGTTGCCGTGGCCAGCCCTTTGCCCTCTCCAGTAACACGTTCTTAAGATCTCACTCATTCTCACGCAATGAGGCAGAATGAAAATGGAGAATGTCAATCCATCCACCTCCTTAGATTAGATTATAAACCCCAGATTCAAATTTTTTATAATTTACCACCACCAGAAAGGAAGCAGAAGTTAAAACATAGACAACAGACCCTATACTGTCTATCACACCAATTTTCTAATGTGTGCTCTGGGAACCATCTATGGATCTTTAAAAGGCGATCCTGCTGTTATTCTGTAAGACCGGAAGGACTATATATATAGTTCAATTTATGTGCAGCATATACTCATAGTAATGCTTTTCTTGACCTTCATGATTTAGGGTTTTTTTATACAGAAAATAACATATCTTCAAAATGCAAACAACAGAACTATGTAGGAAATAAGAGAATCAAGAATAATGAAGTAATAATAGCCAGTTTGGCACATTACTCAGTGGTTCAACGTGGGCATGACTTGCCTCATTGTGTAGTTTATATATAGCTTCATTATGAGTAAAAGTACAAATTACTGTAGAATTATTTTCTGGAAGGCCTGTTTTATGCATCATCTACTTTCCTGGCACCTTACAACCACGTTTAACCTATATAAAATTAACTATATTTATGGGTGATATCTAAATGAGTTGAACACAATTTTTTTTTTTCTCCAGCCTATTTCCTAAATCAGATACAGTAGCTTAACTCAGAACAGAAGAAACCTGATGAATTTCAGCTTTGGTGAGACCTCTACAGCCTGCTCAGTTTCTCTCTTGTAATAACATAAGGCAGATCACCCACAGAAATTCCCTTTGGCCTTCTCCTTGAAAATTGAACCATATGGTTCAGCTGGGATGTGGTTCATTTCTCAGACAAAAAGGATTTTGTAGGAAAGTATACTACAAGGACAAAGAGCTTTTATTTGTAAAAAAGGAAGGGTAGGTAATTTCTAGGGTATTTTACCTTCACTAGAACAACTTTTTTCATATAATGGCAAAGATGAATGATAATAATCAAACAAGTAATACTATTGTAAAGTGGGAAGGGGGAAGGGAGAGTTTTCTGCTGAATAGATTGCCATCTTATCAGTTGTCAAAGTCGATGTGCATTTGTCTTATAGAATTATGCCTTCAGGTGGTAGCTGACCATCCCACCGCTCAGTAATTGCTCTTTGGTTATTTACCAGAATTATTGTGTTATTGCCAGCATTTGAAGAGTTTTGTGCAAGAGGAATTCACATCCAATTCACTTTCAGTTATCTATGTATTAGTTGGCATTTCTTAATACCACAGACTGTCATCTTCAGGACAAATATTGAATATAAGCTATTTTACCTACATTGAATAATGACAAACTTCAACCAATACAAAATCCAAGGACCTGGCTCCCCAAGATTCACCTTAATGTTCTATTCAGTTCAAGCTAGATATCTTATTTACGGAGTATTTGTATATACTTAAAAGTGAAACATAGGGTAAACAAGCTTTTCAGTTAGAGATCATTATAGTTCTATATAACTTCCTTTATATTATATAATTTTCCAGAAAAAATAAACTCCATGCTTTTCTCTCAAATCTGCTTTTCCCCAGAGAACACTCATATATATGAGTGCTTATTTAAAAATTAATTTTAAAAAAGGGAAAGGATGAGAAAAACATCTCAAACAAAATTACAGAAAATGATGTGAAGCTTTAAATGTCACCTTTCCCAATGAAGTTAGCAGCAGAAAGTCACAGGAAAAAGATATGTTTTAAATTCTTCTGTGTGATAAAGACGTGGCAACCTCCCAGGAGACAGCTGCCTGGCTGATAAAAGGGAAGGTTCAGTGGCTGCCCGTGCCTCGCAGATAACAGCCCCGCGCCTCAAGCGCTTCCCCCACTGACCTCTCACTGCAGAACCCTATTGATAGCACTGCAGACTGAGAAAGCTCTGCTTGAGTATCTGGGATAAGAAACGATGATAATTCATTACCATATAATGACCTTCCAGAGTGGGAGCTCATCTCAATAGTATATTAAAGCAATCCATTCAGGTATAACAGAATAAATAGGCCAAACTATATCAAAAATCGCTGAGCCATAGACTATTTATTGTCAACTGTAAGATAAGCTTCACAGAAGAAGGTACTGTATATTTGCCTTATGGTATAAAACTATTTTTAAATCTTCAAAGATATATTTAAAAACACTTGCAAAGCCACCTGTCAGTCTAAGGTCCGTGAGAAAAATGCGCTTCTAGCTCAAAACTTTGAACGTGACTGGCATTACTTTTCAGCTTAACATTTCAGAATTTCTTGTATTAAAATTTGTATATATATGTATATATATATTATATACAATATATAAATGTTATATAAATATATTGTATATTTTTATATATTGTATGTATTTTATATATATATACATGTATATTAGTATATTGTGATGATGAGAGGGCTTGGTAAAATTAGGCTTAAGAAAACTGAACAACATATACCCAAGCAACACTTAAACAATCATCTGCCTTACTTACAAATGTGGTTCAAAACACAGTTTTTGGCCATATTCCCCCTTGCTGTTACCACCTTGGGAAAGCAGTAATTAAATTTAGGACATGAAGCTATAGTTACAGAGTAGAAATTAGTCAGTGACAAATGGGCATGTATTAATATAAACTCAAATACTTAAAAAATAATAATAAAGTCTTTGTGATGTTTCCTGGAATAACAGCAGGAGCAAATTGTATACCAGCACTAGTGGCTGTCCTTACTCACTTGGATGCAAGTCTACGCAAGCCAGCCTTCAGCTTAGGTCAGAAAAATGGTGTATCTGCAAAACAGTACATCATAGTACCATCCGGGGTTGCTTTAGAGAACTGCTTCAGCTGAGCCTGCCACTGGAGATGAGAAAGAAAAAGAATTTTAAAAGAGATTTTGCACATCCATTCACTATAAAGAGACTGAAGATCATAATATTTTTTTTTCTGAAACAAAACAAATTTCTCTCACATTAGTTATTTAAA